GCCGATGCGGGAGACTCCGCAGCGCTCGTGGGTCTGTGCTCTTGGAAAGAACGGCGGCTTCTCTCCACCGTGGGGACCGCAGAGGAAAAAAACCCCGCGCGTCGCCCCGGGGCTTGGCACAGCTCCCGGGGGCTCCTGCGGGCGCTCCGCCCTGCTGAACCGGCGGCGCGGGGGGGCTGCCCGGGGCCGAGGGGGCGGCAGTGCCCCCCTAGGGTGGCGGCAACGCCGCCGGTTGCGCAGAGGCCGCAGCCGCCATTTCCAGGAGGACGGTGCCACCTATGGAAAGCACCTGGAATTCACCGGGCCGGCGGGGACGCGCCGGGAAGTGCAGCGTTTCCGTGCGGCACCGTCGGGACGAGGCCGGGCTGCGCCCGCCGCTCCCCGGCCGGGCCGTGCAGCATTAGAGGGGTTTGGCCGCTTCGGTCCTCAGTACCGACTGCCCCGGGGAGGATGTGCGGCTCGGTCTCGGGGTGGCGGAGAGACCCGGGACAGGAGCTGAGCTGCATCTCATCGGGTCGGTCGTTTCGCTGACTGGCCAAGGCCTCCGTTAGCGGGCAATAACGATCGAAGGGGCGGAGACAAGTTCCTCTGCCCGGGTGCTCGGTAGAGTCCCCGAGCCGGGATCCTCTCGCTCTGTCTGTGTCCGTCCTCGCCGAGATCCCTCCGCGGCTTTGCCGGCTCCCTTCGGTGCCTGGAGAAAGGGCAGCAACCGTACCCGGTGCCCTCCCAGGCGTCGGCCGGACCGGAGCCGTGTCCACGGGGGCACGCCGCCTCCCGTCGCCACGTCGCCCCCGGAGCTGCCGGGGAAGCCCTGCCCCGTCATGAATTCGATGTCAAACACTTCGACACGGAAACTTACTCACATGGGAATTTCTGGGGTCTTGTGGACCGTTGGCGTCGCCGCTGCGTGGGCATACCTGAGATCTCCCCTCCTCGGACCGGGTAGCCCCGCGGTACCCGGCAGAACCCCGGCGGCACTGTGGGGTACCGGTGCCGCAGGTCGGAGCCGGTCGCTGTCTCCCCAGCTGTCCCGGAGCTGCTCGGAAACGAAAAGGCATCGTCTGGGGGCCGGGCTGAGCCCCCAGTCTCGGACAGGATCGTGAGCCGGCGGTGCCGGCGGAGCCAAGGGGTCCCGGGTCCTCGTCCCCCGTCGGCACAGCCCGGTACCGGTCCGTGGGGCAGTGAAATGCCGATGCTGCTCCCGGCTCCTCTCGGCTGCCAGGGGAGAGAATAGTTTTCATGCATGGCTCGGAAACGGAACCGAACCGGGAGAAACCCGCAGCCGAACCGGGCGGCTGGGCTGACAGGGAACGCGGGGCTGGCCTCCCCGAGTGTGCAGGGGAGTGTCCACGCAAGCAGGGAGCTCTCGTGGAAAGTGGCTCGGGGCGCGCTCTGCCCTGCGCGGCGGTACCCGGGTGCAGGATGCCTCTCCTGGGACCCTGGGGCCAGCCCGGTCCGGGAATCGGTTCGGGGACGGGCAAGCTTTGGGATTCTGCCGGGGGCCACTTGCTCTGCCCCCGCTCCCCTCCGCTGTGCCAGAGTGGGGGCTGTGCTCGAATTGCCCAAGAGATGGGGACACGCTGGGGCGCGACCTTGGCACAAAGGGGTCTCCGAGGGGCAGCGGCATCTTGCGCCAGCCGGGGAACCGCACCGGGTCAGGCTGGGAGCTGCGATGGATCCTGTCTTCCTCGACGCGAGTGGCCGTGGGACGGAGCACTCCTGAAGCACGGCCACTAGAGCACACGGGAGTGGCGGGGAGCTGCCCCGCTCCGGTGCGGGGATCGATGGTGCCGGCGGGTGGGTTTGAGCCAGGTCCGCCCCGCCGCCCCGTTCTCCCGGCTCAGCCGCACTCGGACACGGGCGCTCGCCCCGCCGCCGCCACGCGCGACCCCAAGAGGGGCTCCAGTCCCTCGGTTTCGTTGCAAAACTCGCTGCCGTGGCAGCCTCTGCACAGCGGGAATCGAGGGGGGAGCCGGGCACTCTGCTCCCCAGCAGCCCCCTGAGCCCCGAGGAGTTCATCGCACGAGTGCGGACTGGAGGAGCGTAGACCCCGCAGCCCAGAGGATGGTTTGGGGTCAAATGGGCGGAAACGGGGTTTGCCGCGGCAGCACACGCTCCCACCGGTCCGGAGCTGTCCGCTTGTCGGCTCCGAGTCCCAGGATCCCAGAACCGGGTCCCGGGCCGGTGTGGGTGACGGGAGCCGCAGGGATGAGCGGCCCCAGCCCGCCGAGAGCTTGTGGGGCGCCCAGGCAGCTCCTGCCGTTGACCCTGGGAGCGTGGAAGGCTTCCCGTGCCCCGGGTCAGCTCCTGCTCCCGGTGGCTTGGTTGTGCGGGAGGGGCCCCCGCAGTGCCCCCGGCTCCGGGCACGGAGGTCTCCGGACGCGTTCGGCAGCGGTGGGAACTGCCCGGGTACGGTCTCGCCCGCCTCTGCCTCGTCCCGCCCGGCTGGAGCGGCTCTGTCCCACTTTTCCTTCCGGGCCGAGACCCCCACGAGTGGCCGCAGCCCCGGTCCCGCTCAACCACGCGCGGGGGCTTCGGGCGGTTCCCCCGCGGCCGCGGTCGCTCCGCGCTGCTTTCCCCGCTCCGTTCTCGTTTGCGTCTCGCCTTCTCCCTGCCCCCCCGCACCTCAACCGGGGCGCAGCTCCGGCCCCGCGCGGGTTCCGCGTGGGTTCTGGCGGAAGGATGAAGCTATTTCTCCTCTGATACCCTCGTGGGAGGCAGCCAGAACCTCAGCTTCTCCCCTCTGCACCCCACCCCTACGTGTGGTAGCGGGGCTCCTCCGCGGCGCCGCGGAGCTCCGCGCAGGCGACGGGACAAAGGCAGCCGCTCAGTCGGGAGCTACGCGGCCCCTCAGGGCTCCCGTGTGGCGTCGGTACCGGGCGGCACGGCCTCGGATCCGCTGTTCTAACACGCACCGAGGACACCGACAGCCAAGCTGCCGGGGAGAAACCAACTTGCGGCAGCCCCACGGCCACGGGAATGGGAGCTGCTGTGCCAGCGCTCTTCGTGCCGGGGGGACACGATCAGCTTTTGACCTCGCGCCCCGGGCCCGGCCGTGTGCCCGGTGCCGCCGGCTCTGTCCTCTACGAAACATCTTCCCAGGAACGGGGTCCAGTGATCCGCGTCCACGCCAATTCAAGAGTCGCCCCGCGACCAGCCTTAATTAACAACGATTAATTCGATATTAACGAAAAACTTCCCGCGACGCAGCTCGCCGGGGGATGGGAGACCGCGAAGGTTGCGCTTCTCCCCGGCCCGGCCACGTCACGCAGGACTCGCGTGTCGCGACGGCTCCCGTGGCCGCGGGGCTTCGAGCGCGGTGTGGGGGTACACGGGAGCCGCGGAGTGGGAATCCTCCGCCTCCTCTCGGGAGCGCGATTTCATTTCGGCTGGGGACGGTGGGAGGAGGGATCTGCTCATGGAGACTCGACACACGACCCCAGCGTCCCGCGTGGAACCCTGGGGGTCCAGTGGTCGGCGCTCCCCATGGGGTCCCGAAGCCCCACTCGTGTCCGCTCTTGGAGGTCCCTGCCTGGCTGAGTGACACAGCAGCAGGCGGGATCCCCGGGAAACAACGCTCCTCGGGGTGGGAACAAGGCCGGTGCCAGTTCCGGCGCCCCCCGGGTGGCTTCCCCAGCTGGGGAACGGGAAGGGTCTCGTAGCCCAGCCCCAGGTCTCATTCACTGCAGGGCAGGCGCAGCCGGATCCCGGGGCCAATCCCGCCGTGGGTTTTTCACGCGTGAACGCGGCAGCCGCCGAGATCCGCTGCTCGTCGGCTTCGAGCATGTTAGCGGACGGGAGAGCGAGGTGGGGACAGGAGGGGAAGATCCACGAGAGGCTCCGTCTGGTCTCGTCTGTCGTGAACGGGGCCGCAGGAGCCCACTCAGCCCCGCACCGCGCTGCTGCGCGTCCCTCTCTCGGGGCAGCCCGGAGCGGAGGCGCTGCCCACGGACACGGAAACCACTTCACTCCGCGAGACCGGGCTGAAGGGCTGCCCGGTCCTCCCGGTGAGCCTCCCACCGACGGCGCGAGGGGCGGATTGGGTCGCTGCCCACTTGCGAGAACCGGTCGCGTGGGATCCCCTGTCCCCCGGAGGCTGCACCGGCTTCCCGCGACTCGCGCGTGTCTCGTTCTTCCGTGGCCGCCTTGGGGGGAAGGTGATGTCTCCCGACGCCGTGCCGCGGGGCGAGAGGCACAGGCGGGGTGCGGAGCCGGTGGGAGTACCGGCTGGCAGCCTCCCCTGTACCGGCTGGCAGCCTCTCCGTGCAACTACGTTCCTACGCCAGTTTGCTGACAGATAATGCGGGAGATGGACTAAAATCTTGCGTGGGGCTGTGCCGCTGGCCCCGGGTCACCTCTGCTCCCCGCTGGGAGTGCAGCCGGGGGCTGCCAGCACAGCGAAACCGGCGGCTGCGGTGCCCCATTCTGCCGGTCGCGCCCGCGTCGCCGGGAAGGATCCGCGTTCCCGCAGCAGCGGCGGCGCCGAGCGGCACGCGCGACCGCGTCTGTCCGTGGACGGCTCCGCGGCACCGCGGGCTCCACCGCTACCGGGACGGGCGATTTGTGCGGGAGCGCTCCCACTCCTGCCATCGCTCTCTTTGTCCGACCACCGGTAGGCGGGCCAGGCCGCGGAACCCCGCATTCCGCACTGTACGGGGAGCTCGGAACCAGCCGGCCCATCCCCGGGGCCGCAGAACCCCATCCCTCCCGTTCCCCGCCCCTCGGGCCCCCTTTGTGCTCCGCGCCCCCTCCCGCCCTCCCGGGGCCGTCCCCCCGAGCGGGGCGTGGCCACGGCGGGGGGGCGTATCCTCTTGTGGGCGTGTCACGGGGGGGCGTGTCCCCTAGGCCCCGCCCCGGCCCATCGGGACGCGGCGCACGTCGGTGGGCGGGGCTCGGCGCGGCCAATGCGGCGCGGGCGGAATATTCCACCCGGCTCCGGCGCGGCGCGCGCGGGGGGGGGGCGGGGGGCGCGCGGTGACGTCAGCGGGCGGAGTATTATGGTCTGGGCTGCGCCGGGGCCGCCCCTGCGCTGCGAGCGGCCGCGTAAACATGGAGCTCTCGGCCGTCGGGGAGCGCGTCTTCGCGGCCGAGGCCCTGCTCAAGCGCCGCATCCGCAAAGTAGGTGCCCCCCCGCGGACCTCCCCCGCCGCGCCCCCGGCCCCCCGCACCCCGGCCCCGGCCCGCTGGGGGCGGCTCTGCCTCCCCCCCGCCGCGGGGCGGGCTCCGCTCCGCCGCTCCCGCCCTCCGCGCCCCGCGCCTGAGGAGGGGAGGGGGGGGGCGGTGTTAAATCCGCGCCTGGGGGGGGTGTGTGTGTGTTAAATCCGCGTTATTTTTCATTGTTGCATCCCCCTCGCTGCCCCCCCGCCCCGCGTTCCGCTCCCCGCTCGGGGCGTTGCGGGGGGACCTTTGTTGCGGGGCGGTTTGTCGCGGTTTAGTCGCGGTTTAGTGGCGGTTTTCGCTGCACGCATATTTATTTTCCTCGCTTCCCATCCGCAGGGCCGCATGGAATATCTGGTCAAATGGAAGGGCTGGTCGCAGAAGTAAGTGGCCCGTGGGGCCGCGGGGGGCTGCAGCAGGGGCCGGGGGGATGCTGGCTGCACCCTCTGCTCCCCCTTTGTGCCACAACAGGAACCTTTGTGCCCCTATTTTTAATTTTATTTATCTTGTTCCCTTCTGGCTCCTTATTCTGTTCCCTCTCTCCGTCCCGCCTTCCCCCCAGGTACAGCACTTGGGAACCTGAGGAGAACATCCTGGATGCCCGGCTGCTCGCAGCCTTCGAGGAGAGGTACAAGGCCTTTACTAGCTGTAGCAGTTGCGCTTGTAAATATGTTGCTGTCTTGTAGCTATGCTGAATTGAAGCTTTGGTTCTTTTAACACCTCTAGGGAGCGAGAAATGGAGCTTTACGGGCCCAAAAAGCGAGGCCCCAAGCCCAAAACCTTCCTGCTAAAGGTAAGGAGGCCGGAGCCCGCGCACGAGGGCTGCGTGCCAGAGCAGGGGTCCCTGTCCGGCCCCCTCGGAGGATGCTCCCCTCAAAGGTGGCCTCTTGTAAGTTGCAATTACACAGCCGGATGGCAGGATAATAAAGTCACCGGGTGATTTATCTTCTTTGCAGGCCCAGGCAAAAGCCAAAGCCAAAACCTATGAATTCCGCAGTGACTCTTCCAGGGGGATCCGGGTGCCGTATCCTGGCAGGTCCCCCCAGGAGCTGGGCTCCACGTCCCGGGCTAGGGAAGGACTGAGAAACATAGCCCTGGCCCCCCAGAGCAGCTCCAGCAGCAGCACCCCCAAGGCAGACGGCATCCGGGACCGGGTGATCCGCGTGGAAGAGAAACCCGGAGAGACCCCCAAAAAGAGAGGCCCAAAGCCCAGGAAGGAGCTTTACAAGGACCTTGCAGATACTCTGGATGCTTCCAAGAGGAAACTGGGGGAGCCGGGGGACAAGGTGGGGGACTACCTGAAGGCCAGGAAGATGGAGGAGGCAGCGGCGGGGGCAGCCAAGTTCGGTTCGGGACACAGCGTGATCCAGCTGGCCCGGCGGCAGGAGCCCGACCTGCCCGGAGCCCTGCCCGGCCCCAACCGCGCCGAGCCGGGGGCCGAGAGCTTCCCCCCGCGCCTGGCCAAGCACCGTGCGGACTTTCTGGACCCCAAGGGGCAGGGGGGGCTGGACCCCGGCGGGCCCAAGCTCCTGCACGGCGCCGTGAGCCCGGGGGCCGTGGGCAGCCTGTACCGTGACGGCGTGGGGGCCCCGGCGGGGCGGCCCTCGCTCATCGCCAGGATCCCCGTCTCCAGGATCCTGGGGGACCCCGAGGAGGAGTCCTGGAGCCCCTCTCTCAACAACCTGGAGAAGGTGGTGGTAACTGATGTGACCTCTAACTTTTTGACCGTCACCATCAAGGAGAGCAGCACGGACCAAGGATTCTTTAAGGAGAAGCGATGAGTTTGGTGGAGGTGGTGCTGGGGTTTTCTTCAGTCAGATCCAGACAAAAGCTTGGTAGAGCTTGGTGGGCCTCTCTTTTTTTTTTTTTTTTTTTTTTTTTTTTAATGCTCCTTTTTTTTTTTTTCTTTTAATTTTTTTTCCTTTTGTTTTTGGTCCTGGAGAGAATTTAGAAACTGTCCTAAATTCATTAACTCATTCTTTTGTTTTGTTTTTTTTTTCACGTCTTACATTTCGTTGGAAAGATTATCTCTAGAGTTATATTTTCTATTAGATGTAAATATGTTATTTAAGAAAAAATGCTTATATATATATCTATATATATATATTTCAACTCTGAGTTGTTTTATTTAAATGGAGACAACAGTGACTGCTCAGTTGCTCCTAGAAAGGACAATAAAACTGAGAACTAACGAGTTCACGCATCTGCCGCAGGAGCCGGTGTACATAACGGTGTTCATAGCTAAGTATGTGCTGGGTTTTTTTAACTATTATTTTTCATATGATGCTATGGATGGTGGAGGGGGAACGTGTTGCTCCCTCGCAGGGCGAAGTGCCCGGATTTCTTGATTGTGATTTAAGGTGTTGCTTGTACAATCAAGTGTGCTGTGTCCAGAACTGTTGCCCTTGACAGCTGACGTGAGCACTTGAATTCACAGTGTTGTTGGGGATGGGGTGTTTCCAGTCTAACAAAAAAAGTCATGTTGCTACAAAGTCGGGGCAGGGAAAAGTAGAAATCCATAAAAAGGCTAAAAGTGTTGGAGTATTAACTTGAATTCCCTTTTCTTGCGGAGGAGAGGAGTTTGTGTGTGTAAGGTTCCTGAGGGGTGATACTGAAATGCACTTTAATAGAGTTGTCGTAGCAGTTGTGGGAGATGGGACTGAGCTGAGTCTACCTGTTTTCATTTTGTCTGGTCGCTTGATTCTGTTCCCCCACCCACGAAAAACAAAAAACCCCAACAAAACCCCCCTCTGTTTACATTCCTGAAATGCCAGAGAGGTTGGGGAGGGAGCATCTCACTGCCCATATTTAGTTACTTTATTCTGCTACAGAAAGTGGACTATTATTATTTTTATTCCAAATCACAGTTTACTTCAGACTGTTGGAAGACTCCTGATGAAGTGTTTTGTAATATCCACATCCCTGACAAATCCCGGGGTCACCTTTATGCATTCAGAGACAATAAATATTTCCCTTTTCTTACACTGGTTAAACAATAGCCAGGAGGCGAAATATCCCCGTGTGGAGCAGCCCCGCAGCCTCGGGTGGGTTTTGTGCTGGGTTTGCCTGTGGGATTCCTCCCAGGCTGGGATTTGGAGCTGAGGCTCCTCTCTGGCTGGGGTAGGGAGGCTCTCGGGGCTGTGGCCGAGGTGCAGCAGTTTCCCTGCTGGTTGGGGGGCCGGGGGTGCCCCTGCTCTGCTGCTCCCCCAGCTCGGAGCTGCCAGACAGGGGAGGGACCCTGGGCCCGGCTGTGGCTCCAGCTCCTGCCTGAGCTGGAGCAGGTGGCCCTGTCCTCACGCCCTGCTCTGGGCATCAGTCGCATGGGAAGCACAAGCCCGGCAGTGCCTGAGGGCTGGGGCTGAGCCAGGGCCCCTTGGACTGGACGGCCCCTGGCCCAGGGAGCTCACCTGGGCTGGGCGGGGGGCGTCTCTGCTGCAGAGCTCTCTGGCAGCTTCACCTTGTCCTCTTCCCTTTCTCATCCTTCTTTGGGGACCCGTGAGGTGCCTGGCAGGATGCTGGATTGGCTGTGCAAAGGGAGCCATCGTGTCTGACAGTTCCCAGTTTGTTTTTCCTTTTTTTCTTTTTCTTTCTTTTTTTTTTTGAAAGGCATATTTGGTAAAATTGAGATTTTTAACTTGGTTTGTACGAAGAGCTGATGCGTTGGTCCCGGTGCTGACACGGGACGTGGGTGTTGTTGGAGGAAGAGGAGGGGGTTGAGCTGTTGGTGCTCCTGCTGCCGCCAAGGCCGGAGGATCCTTCCCTTTGCAAAGAGCCCCGAGCCGCTCCTGCCGCGTTGGGGCTTGGCTCCAGCCCCGTGTCCGTGTGTCCGACACACACCTGGAGCAAACCGTACCTGTGGGTGTATCTGTGTGTCTGTACATAGCGACGTGTACCCTGCGTGTGTGTGTGTGCGGGCGTGTGCGTGTGAATTATTTAAATCTAAGACTTGTACAAAAGCGATTTGGCTAAATCTCAGTCTCAGAAGTGAAGCTTAACTACGTGTCTTCTGCCAGCCGTGAATGTCCATATGAGACCTGCTTTTTATGTCAGTTTAAATATATACTTTGTAAATAGAAACGTGTCTGGCTTCCCTTTGTGGCGCTGGGAGCAGCGTGGGGTGGGTGGCCCCGCCGCCCGTTCCGTCCCGACAGCCGCGGAGTGCGGGGCTGGGGCCGGGACCGGGACCCGACGGGGCTGGGGGGAGGCGGAGGCTCCCCGCCCGCGGATGTCGCCGGTCCGGGCGCCCCCCCGGGGGTCCCGCGGTACCTGGAGGGGGCGGTGGCGGCTCCGGTCCGAGGGGCTCCGGTACCGGGCCGGCTCCCGGCGCTCCGCCCTTCCGACGGGGCGCGGGTCGGGCGCTGCCCGTCCAGCCCGGCCTTTGTGTGCGAGCGCGCCCCGGCAGCACAGGCGGGGCTGGGGGGGCTGCGTGGGATTTTTAAACCGTGTCCTCATTAACCTCCTTTTTCTGCTCGGGCGGGTGGGGCGCAGACCCCGCGCCGCGGGAGCTGCCAGCGCCGGGAGGAGCGGGAGGAAGGGCGGCACAATGGCGCCTTTCTCCGCCGGCCCGGCGGGGGGGCCCCGTTCACACGGGCCGCGGGGCCCCGGGGGCGGGGCCGGGCCGGGCCGGGGGCGTTCGGCCCCAGGGGCTCCGCTCCGCCCGACGGCGGCACCGACGGCAGCGCCCGGGGCCGCCACCCGCGCCCGGCAGCGACCGCGCAGCGCCCTCCGCAGGCCAGGCCGGCCCGGCCCCCGTGCCTGTCCCGGTGTCCTTCCCTGTCCTGGATCCTGTCCCGGTCCCGGTCCCTGTCCCGGTGTCTGTCCCAGTCCCGCTCCCCCTCCCGGTTCCTGTCCCGCAGGTGCGCACGGATCCCTAAAGGGAAAGCGATGGGATTTCCCCGCTCCGGTTCCAGCCTCGCACAGCCCCGGCCCGTGGTTCCGGGAACGCGGAGCCGCGGAGAGGGGGCGGCCCCAGGCGGTGCCGGGGGCCGGGAGGGGAACCGGAGCTCACCCGGAGCAGTGACCACACGAGGCTGAAAAGTTTAAAAAAATATTTATTGATATGCTAAAAAAGAAGTGTGGAAAAGCCATACAAACCCCCCCCACCCGACGTAACCTTTTCCTAGTGTTTTCCTGCAAATAAATTAAAAGCAGCCTAGAGCTGGGGGGCTACACTAGCGTTAGTGTCCAGGAACACTGGAAAACGGCACAAGGAACACGAGTGAGGGGCCGGGAGGGACCGGGGTGCTGCGTGGGGAGCTGGTCCTGCTTTCCCAGGGCAATAACATCCCCGACTTTTGTTCTCAGAAAATAAAAGCAAACAAACAGCTGCAGTTTAAAGCAATTATAAGTGTCATACAGGACCGATTTGGCTCTCTCTTTAATTAAAACGTACAAATCAGAGCAGTGACTGGCACAAGTTACAAGAACAATTATTTGTTTTCACCTATCTTAAATTTCTGTCAGTAAAACCTTTCTTCTGACTCTGGAGCCCTTCACACGCAGCTCAGAAACCCAACACAAACCAAACCCCTAAACTATCTCCATCCCTCCGTGTACTCCTGGGTTTTTTTTTGGTACAAAATATATATATAAAAATAGACTCAGTTTCTCGGGATGATGGCTGAATCGGCCACCTCTTCCAGTCCAATGGAAAACAACAAGGATGCTTAACCAGATTACGCCTGGGGAAAATATCCATTCACTATACAAATACCGCAGGACTTTCCACATCGGAAACCCCTTAGAAAATGACAAGTGACAAACCTTTAATTGCCTGTCTGACACCCGGCTGAACATGCCAACCCATAGCAGCAAACTCAAAAAAAAAAAGGAATAAAACAAGGTAGAACTTGAACCCTAATGGTACATAACCAGGGTCTGCACCAAGCAGGGGTCTTCCAACCCCTGTCCACTAAAGATTCCAGTAAATTACTCACAGGATGTGTCTTTGGGAGGCAAACCCCAGTGGGAACCGTGCATTCAACCCCCCCAGCGCTGCTGGGAGCACCAAGATCCCAGAACACCAAGTGAGAAAGGGGCTGGGGAAGAAATATAGGGTGAGATGGCCAGATAAAAATCCTGGATTATCATTTTCACCATCGTCAGACCTTTGGAATTGAACCAGCTGGTGAGCAAAAGGCACAATAGCAAGTGGTGAGAGCAGAGTCCTGTGCTGCTGGAGGGGACACGCCTGGGCAGGGTGGGTGGTGCAGGGGCTGCTCGGTTTTGGGATCCCAAGCAGGAGGCAGGAGCCAGGCCCTGCATGGAGGAAGCCCTGGGAGCTGAGACAGAGGCTCTGGAGGGAGCAGCCAGCACCTCACTGCTGTCACAGCTCATCTCCTGCCCCGCCCTTTGGGCCTGGCCCCTCCTTGGAGCATCTTCAGATGTTTTTCTTCCCCTTGGAGAAACCAATCCACAGATGCTACTGCTGCAGTCAAGAGCATCCCAGCCAGGCCAGGGTCCCCTCTGGGGGCACTGCTCAGCAGGGCTCTGCACACAGCTGGAGTCCCACTGGGGACCAGGACACCTCTCCCCATCGGTGTCACCGTGTCCCCAGGACCCTGTGACCACCCTGCTTTGCATAGGCACAAACCTGTGGTGGGACCGGTGTCACAGACTGGGCTGAGATAAGGACGGTCCCGAAGGCACGTGGTTGATCAGTCTGGAGTCACAAAGGCCAAGTGGCAAACATTTGGTGTGTGGGTGAGAGCCTCACCCCCATGCTCCCATTCCTTGATTCTTGTCCCAAAGCACTGGTACCCCCAGCACACACCGTGCCCGGGGCGCTGCTTCCTGCTGACACAGCCCAGGGCTGCCCTGGAGCTTGTTTGGCAAAGTTACACTGGAAGCTAAACTGCACAGACTGTGACA